TATAAGATCTAAACATAAAGGATAAAAATGATAAAAATACAGTAATTACCAAAATCTTTTATGCCTGGCACATAATTATATTTGTTCACATAATCCAGGGAATCCCAATCTTTTTTGCATCATCACCCACCTGTATAATAAATATTCAAAAGCACACTAAAATTGTTTGGTAAAAGTTTGTTACTGGTTCATAAACTAACTTTATAATGTAATAAATATCAAAGAAAGGTAACAAATAATGCTGACTTATTCAAATATTTTTTGTTGTTCTTGGTTTTCCCTTATCTGATTTATATCTGGGAAAAAATGTTATTTTCTCTGAAGAACTATTTAAATATCAATGACCCTTCTCAAAACTATAGAAAATACCAAAATATTTGTTGATTTCAGGGATATTTATATTTTATTTAGGAATATATGACCGAGTTATTTCCATTTAGGATCGTGTTTTTTTTGGGGGGGGGGTTATACAAGCTCTTTGTATATCTCCTTTGAATATTTTTTTCTGGTAGCATATGTTGAAATACCTTTTTTATGCTCAAAATTCTATATCTCTCACCAAAATTTCCAATGACCCACCATTTTCTGTTCAGTTGCTCATCACCCACTCAACAATTGAAATAGGCCACCATGGGCAATATCGCCCAGGTTTTTTTTATTTTGCATCTTTTCATGTTTTGTACTCATAGTTGACTCATTGATTTCTTATTGTTTTTTTTTTATTATTTCACCCCAATGAAGGCAATAAAGCCTCTAAGATGTAATGGGTTACTAAGTGTTAGAGAATATGAGAATAAAAACACTATAAAGGAGAGAAAACACTAAAAGAAAAAGAAGTTCAAAGATAATGATTGACATTGCATTTAAATTTTTAAATTGACAGGGAAGCAAGAAGCCAGAAGATAGTTCCACAAGTGAGAAGTGCAAGAAAAGACACTGTTAGCATAGAACTTACAGTTACATGTAGCCATTTCAATTGTAAAACAATGATACCTTGCTGCCAATCTACTACTGTACTTAAATTCATAAAATCTAAGTACCATAGAGGAAAGTTCATCAGAATAATTAGTATGGAAATATTTATAGAAAAAGCACAGGGAAACTAGATTATAGCAGTGAGAAAGTGACTGAATCTGAGATGCCAGGTCAGTACCAGTGACATTGCAGAAATAACTATTATTTAGAAAATATAGAAGGGTTTATGTCCCATAGAAAAATAAAACAGTCTTTATTTCACAGTCTTTATTTAAGTGACTGACAAGAGTTTTATTAATAATGTTAATTGATTTACTACTGACGATTATTTCCAAAATGCTGTAGTGCCTCCACCGTTCTTCATTGCTTATCACTATGCTATGGTACCAATGTTACATAATGCAAAGACCTAACAAATTCCTGGACAGAAGGTGTGGAATTCTGACAGTGATAGATTACCTTTGTCTAAGTTTAGGATATAAAACCAAAAACAGAACAAAGTCAGCTGAGGTTTGCAAGCATTTTGAAAAGTCGTCACACTTTCCATACCAAGAATTCTTACAGAGGTTAACCCACACATAGTAGAATGCTAAGCTAATAAGTGGGCATGCATTCCCCTGAAGATGATCTTCTCGCTACCTCCTAGAATAAATGCTATCATGTCTGTCCCTCTTGTATAATAAAATAAATAAGAAAAAGAAACCATCTTTCACTGATCCAGTCTATGAAAAGATATTGGGGCTTGAAGGCGTGAAGTCAGTGGCAACATGGAATGCTACACTAATTTACCTTAAAAAATACAATTGAATTAAATTGTAAAAATTATTAGTCTTAAATTTGTATTTGTAAAATAAAAATACAACTTTATCACAAGTTGGCATCAGCCCATGAAGAAAAAGTATTTGAATAAATTTGACTAAAAATATCATGGAAATTGGTATTTATGTTTATGAACATGAAAAAATAAGTCATTTTGAAACTATTAGTCTTCACTATTCTATCTTTAACTTTTCTTTTTCATTTTTCTTCATTTTTGCCTTTTGCTATAAAATCAGATTTATTTTGTAATTGAAAAATGCAACATAAAAGAAAAATTGTCAGGTAGAAATGATTTATTAAATATTATTGCATTATTTTTATCTGTGTTTTTGTTCCTTTTCCATCTGGGTGTTTACCTGAACACTACAATAATAACCTCATCAAAGGGTCACTCATTATCTATTCTCCATATCCTTATAATCTTCACTTAATACTACCCCCTCTTATATTCATATTACACATCTCAGTTAGTAGCCATCTGAAAATTGTTTCTTACTGCAATCACCAAAAGATTGCATTCTCTTTATGGAAAACTAATTAAACTTATATTTATAATATCCAATGGAGACAGGGTAAAAAGTTAAATGATTCATTAATTATTAATTAAAAATTACCCCATCTGAATTTCTAGGATAAGGTGTTATCATTGTTTACATCCAGTCTAATGTTCTCATCTTTGTTGCCATTATCATGTTTCGGACACTGTGCTCTCCAGCATTCTTTAGGTATATATTGATCAAAGTAACCTTTAGGAAAATTTGAACTGAACCCTTTCTTAAATCTACAATAGAATGTTCTCATTCTTGTTCTTATTTTACTTAGTACTGTTATTAGAAAGATGGTGGGAAATAATTGAGCAGTACTAAATAATAAGACAAGATATCCCTGGATTGGCCCAGTGGAATGAATGTAAATAATGTAAATTAAAATTAGCCTGATGAGTTAAATGAAATGCAATATATATTATAATAATAATTCATTAGTATTTGTCCCCACCAACACACAACAATATGGCAGAATAAAAAGTTAACCAGCTGAAAAATAATTTGAAAAAAAGAAATATAAGAGGGAAATAGAAAAAAAATATTAAAATATTGTTAAATCACCAAAGAACTTTTCTAATTGAGAAGTTGGGGAAGTAAATAATGGAAATATGTAGATCTAAAAATTAAATGGGCTTTAAAAAAAAAACAACATTTAGGCTGGACTAAACAAGTCATTCTTATAAGGACAAAATCATTTTCCTAATTAGTTACTTCAAGATGCCACTCTAAATGATCTCCTCTCACATGGTACAGATGTGCAACATTCAGCCATCTTGTGCTGAAATTTACTAAGGACAGGCTCTCTCTCTCCCTTCTATTGCATAACAAAACAACATTGTTACAAACAGAACTGGCTTCCAAGCAAAAGAATTGCCCTTGGAACATATGAATCATGTAGACTTCAAATCTTCACACAGCAGGAATGGAAGCATAGACTTTTCCATATCATTACAATGTTCCACCATGAATGATATTTTGCTAATACAAAGCATGTCTCAATTCTAGTTCTATGAAGGATTTTGCATTATGGAGGCATTTCTATCTAGGCACCTAAAATCATAGAGAGCAATATCTCTTTCTTGTTAGACTGCCCCTCAATCAAATATTCTTGTATGCTACCTTCCTTAATGAGTACATAACACTTTTCTTGACAATGACTATGTTTCAGAGATTCTAGCTTTCACCTATTACTCATGATAGAAAGCATACTCATTTTGAAACAAACAGTGGGCATCTTCCTTATCCAAGTGCACAACTTCTTCAATCTTTCTTGCCATCTTCATTTTCAAAATCTCTTTATTTTCATCATTTTATGCACAAAAATATAATTGTAAAGTACATTGATGAAACTTGATATTTGGCATCCACAGAGCCTTAAAAGGAAGGCAGCAATGAGTTTAAACAAAGTTCTCAATCTCTCTAGCTCACCTGCCTTGGCACACACAAGTGGCAGTACTCATAGTCAGTAGAGAATAGTAATGCAATCCTCCTCTTCAAGTAAAAATTCCATTGAGACGTATTCCAAGGTTAACTGTAGCCACACCTTTCTCTCATAACTTTGACTAATACTTCTCAAGCTATAGGATAGGGGCAAACCAGACACTGAGTATCTAGTATGGCTTGTATGCCTAACTGATGGGGTTACTCAACAAATGCAACTACAAGCCTGATTGTGAAATATTATGGCTTCTGTTACTGTCTTATATAATCTTGATTTCTATATGAATCGCCTTAATCTAGGCATTGCTCATTACAGGCATGAAGACATCATTGGCCAGGCAACATAATTCTCTATAGGACTGTGTTTAAAACTGCACAGGAAAGATCAAAAATATCCAATACAGGTGAAAGCAATCAACATTGATATATAGATCTGGATGACATGAAATGTTGTGATCTTACTCTGTTCACTTGCAGTGCATACAGCAAGTGAATCAGAGTGCAAAAGTCTAGCCAGCCACAGACAAGACAAATGAGGGTCAATCATGTTGAATACCTTCGACTGATCTAAATTGATTAGTGTGGCTTAATCATTGACTTTCTTTCAGATCCTGTGTACCAAATGTAATTTATCATGGATAGTTCTATTCTTCACAGCACAAGATTGTGTGGGGTTTATTTGACAACCCATCACAGCCTGCAGTTTGCTGAGATCTTGGACAGAGATGGTAAATGTCAGGATTGTATTGGAGGAGAAGGTGAGATTTTAAAGGAGGAAGAGTTTATGGAATTGGAAAAACTCGTTTTCCTCGTTGAGTTTGTTATTGGTGCCATTTTTGTTGCCTTCATTGTTGTTGTAGTTGATTTTGGGTGGGGGAGACATGGCAGTAGAAGAGACCATCAACTATCACTATTTCCATGGCAAATGTTCCACTGTTTAGTAAGTTCCACTAACACAGCTTTTTCCCCAGTGACTAATATTTTGTGATATGGAATCCTGCATGGTTGTTTCCCTGAATATTACAATCTTAATTTCTTCAGATCAAGGATTAATCATTATCTATCCTTCTTATCCTCATCATTTTCACTTCTTGGCATCTTTTTTTCATTCCTATCACAAACCTCATTCATCATTACCATTGTAACAGTAACGCTGAGTAGCTCTTGTGTCTTGTATTGGATGAATTCTAGTATAAAAAAAAAACAACTTATAAACTGTAGACTTACTTCTCCTCTGATCCTGATACTCTATGCAAAACAGACTTTCTTTTATCTGTAGATCCCTTTTCATGTAGGTAAGATATTCTTCATATCATTGAATCATTGAGGATAAATTTTAAACTATACATAAAAATCATTTTCTTACTCACTCCATCCTTTTTGAAAATCTAAATACAAGATTAGTTAGAATTCTCATTATGTTTTCGTTTTTATTAAATGAGTTCAGAATAAATGTATTGTTGCCATGTAAGGAACAATTGAAAATGGTTTAACCTAAACTAATGCAACTGGATCAATTAAAATTTGGATAGAGAAAATCAGGATCAGATCTATTTATTTTCAATGATAATATTACAAAAATATTACACTAGATGAAAATTGATATGATCCTTACATGCGGAACCACCCAGGCATTTTATCAGATACATAGGTTTCATGAACTGTATCAAATCCACTCCCAACAAACTGTTCACCAGAATGGTATTGGTATTATTAGCAAAATTTCCAGTTAACTTAAAGTTTAGATTTTTCAGGTATTTAATAATCAGATGGAAACAATCAACATCAAACCCGATAATAAATTCATTATCAATTAAAACTGGTAGGGAACAAGTACCACTGGTATATCAAATTTTAACTCCAAATTTGAAAGAGAATCCTTTTGCTCTATCAGCAATTACTCATATGATAGAAAACTTTGAAGACACTGCATTATATTCCTTCAAGTGGGAGACATTCCTTAGAAGCTGAATGCACACCTCAAATTATGGACTGTCTGTAAATAATTTGATCAAATGTGCAACCTTCATTATACAACAAAATGGAGGAACAATTAAAAAATTTGTTGTAATTTCATAAACCCTTTTTCATACCCATTTGTTTAAAATGAAGTGAGTTAGTGCTCTTGGCACAGTTAGGGACAACCAGGTTGAATTAGTGTCCTTGCTATAGTTAGAGTTCAGTCTAATCCTGAGAAGAGATTAGAGCAAGACATGCTGCAACCAAGGTCCAGACTCACACCATAGGGAAGATATTCATAGATGACAACCTCCTAACCTTAGCATAAACATAGTACTCTTATAGAGTGCAAATCTCATTTATTGTAATTACCATGTTTATGTCATGTTATATTGTTGTTTTATATTATTGCATTTAATAAAAATAGTAAACATATTATGGCATCCTTCTGTTCATTTCCCTTTAGTACCTCATATTTATTCTTGTTTGGGATCTCCTTAAGGGAGGGAGCCATTATAAAATAACAAGCCAACATTTCAATTTCCTTTTCTTTGTTGTCTTCTAACAGGCTTACTTTTTGTAATGCAGTCTATATGGGAGATGCCAAGGATGATTCTGTAGCATTTAATTTCTAATGCTTGGATTCTCTGTAATTCTGCTGTTAATTTGAAAATGTACAGAAAAATTGAAGAATGCCAATACATGCAACAGTCTGACCTTTGATTTAAGACAGATGTCCTGTTTCCAGATAGTTCTTAGTTCACATGAATGAATACCTGTCTGAACTGAAGCAATACACCTGTTATGTGAAACAAAGTGAAGAGGTGACTGAAGGAGGAGGTCATGTACTCTAATGTTTGACAGTAAAAAATGTTAGATTACTTCTTTGAAAATACCTTTATTTAGTTAAAAGACAATAACTTAAATAACTGCATTGTCATTTGAACCGTAGATATACATGACAGTTTATAGTATCGATCCAGTATCTACTTCTACCGATAATGGGATCTAATGAAATCTTTTTATTTTATTCACTACAGGGAATTGTTATTAAATAGATAGCAACATAATTAGATCTGAGGAACGAAGAAAATGTGATATTCTTTATCTTACTTTATAACCAAAAATCAATCATTTTTAATAACCCCCAAAAGGTCAAATTTAGTTTCTAGAAGTTCTCTGCCTATGAGGTTAATATATTGATCATCAATTTCATTGAAGAGATCAATGAAGATGTCTCAATAAAGATTTGCTTCCAGGAACTCAGGTCTTGTGTCTTTTTTCTTCTTGTTTCACTCTGTACAACATAAAATCAACTATCAAAAACTCTTGCTTTTCTGGTAAATATGAAGAGGTGTGTAAAAATTCTTACCTAATTCACTTTCCAAAATCAGTATTTCAATGATTAAACATCAGAATACTAATTTTGGGTTGTTGGTCAGGCTGAGAACCTTTCAGCACCCCCTTTGAAGTAAGCCCATCAAATTACATAACCATCAGTGTTAATACTTAAAGAATTTACAATATGAACCATTTTACGTATCAATGATTGACAGATATAACTGACTTGTAAAATCCTCCTAGAAATTACTCAGAATAGAGTAAACATTGTTAGATAGTTATTGGGAGACATCTTTGAATAGTCATTGTTTTCTGTACTGTTCAATTTACAAGTTGTGTCCTATTATTTGAGATATTTTATTTTTTCTTATTTACTTTTATGTTAAGAGTTTTATTTTAGTTTGAAGTGACTTTGTAGTAATTCTGTAAATTATTTGTGCTTCCCTTAAAGTTGAATGAATCACAGATATTGGAATGGACCATGATATGTATGAAAACTTGAAAAAATGCTTCTTTAAATCTATTATCTCTCTTGACTATGCCAACATTCTGATGTCATTAGAAGAGGGAAAGAGGTTTCCTTCCTCATCCTTTTGTAGCTCTAATGATAACATGTCTAAGTAGATCTCTCTAGAAATTGTCTGGCAGCCTGTTCAATTGCTTCAGTATGAGACAATATTGGAATTAGGTTTTGTGAAGATACATTATTGATTGATCCGGTTCACTTTTGGTAAATTTTTTTCTTACAAACAGAATTGTAGAAGTTTATGTTAACTATTTCTTTTGTTACTTCCTTGAAACAATTGGTAATAAGATCAAATATTATTTTAAAATTATTTGTAGTTGTCACTGAGGATGCTTATTTTTTGCAAGCTTGCAAGTAAAAGTCATTTTTTAAGAGTTCAGCATTATATCATAATATGGAAACTCTTGTTTACCATTCACTGCTGCTGCTACAAATAACAACAATGATAATAGTAAACTGAAGAAATACAAATATTAACATGGTAAGATTGGGGGATATATTTATTGGAAAATAAACTGTAAGAATATTAACCTGAACTCATTATTGAAAACAATGAAGTCCCGATTTTTTTAAACTTTACCATTCATATTGTTGAACATTGTTAAACATCAAGTCTTTCTTAAATTGTGCTCTTTTCTAAGTGTTAAAAAATATTATGTCAATGACAGATCATGTCACTGAAGCACAAAGACCTGACCATATTGTTATAAATAAGAATAATGTCAGAATTTGTCGACCCAGGTTTTTGTTGTTATTTGAGTGTCGGGTTCTAAACATTTAACAACAAAACCTCTTTTAAATTAAACATAAAAAGGTTATTCTCTAAAAGAAAAGTAGAAACAGAACATCAGCTGGAATAATATTTCTATATTCTTCTCAGAAACATAAATAAAAAAATATTCAATTTTCCTTGCATTGAAGTTTGTTTTATCAAATAATTAAGTGTTTGTAGTGGGATTTGAGAAGTGTGGACTGACTTACTTTATGACAGTCAGTCTAATGTATGTGTGAGTGCATAGACAAGGCCTTAGTTGGCAGCTGCTGGCTCTTCTCTTTTATTGTGTGCATGTATGTGGATGTGTATGTATGCATGTGTAGATCAAACTGGCCTTTGAAATGGTTTTGAACCCCAAGCAGCAGTATGCTTCTGTTTTTATATCTGTAAAAAGGATCCAAAATCTAATTTCACAGAGGTGCAATTTTTGTGAATGTAAGGTTTTCATTGGTTAGAGATTAATTTTATGCTGGCTCATGAAATTTTTTTTCTCAAATTTACAGGAGTGCTGAAGAAAATTATCATTATTATTTTCTAAATGGTCCAAAAAATAATACATGGTAGGTCTACTACCTCTGCCAACTATTTTGGTGGTATTTGCCTTAGTAACTATTGTTTATCAAACAAAACTTCTCATAGGATTTTACTGATTCAAAATATATATATATATATATATATATATATATATATATATATATATATATATTGAATTTCCTATGCATTTCCTATATCTACATTTACTCAGGATTTCCAGTGTTTCCTATGTCTACACTTACTCAGGATTTTAGATTTATCAAATTATCAGGTTCTTTATGCAAAGCAATGGCTAACTTTTCCTTTGTGCATAGTGAACAAAATTTATTACCCGCTTTATACTCATGACATTTCTTTAATATTTTCCATTTCAAGATGTGGTCTTTATTATCGTCTTGTTTAATTTTCCATACATAAGTAGATAACGTGATGCTTGCTTGTATTTTTTGTTATTAAAACTACTAAAGTGGTTATAGTATCGGGCTTTAAAATTATTTTGGGTAGATCCTATATATATCTTGGAATTTTTATCAGTATTACTTAGTTTATCCTTATATATTTTTACTTGGTATACCACACACTCTTGCTGGCACTTTCCCTGCAGGGGGCAGGCTTTCTTATTCCTACAATTACATGGGGGGGTCGTACATGGTTTGTCCTTAATTTTTCTCATATTGTATCTATTAATTAAACTAGTCACATTGGGCATACGGCTATAGCTTAATTTGACAAAGTTTTTATTATAGATTTTATACAACATATTAGTTTGTGGGAAATTCTGTTTGAGTAGTCTAAAAAATACTTTGCTTATGTTGGTTTTCACCGTTGAATTATAAGTGGGATTAAACCATAATATTTTTCTACTTCTGGTTTTGTGTTTGTTTTGTGTTCTAGGGTCATCTTTTATATCAATATATTCTAATTCATTGTTATGTCCACTATTCTTTAGAGCCAGTTCATTTTTGTTAAAAATATCATTATTTCATGAATTGGTGGACAATCTATGATTAATGCCTTTAGGTATCTGCTTCAAGATATGGTGCCAGGTGATTAGAACCTACATCGATGTATTGCAGGTACTGGTTATCCTTTCTATACATCTTTGGCCAGCGTGTACCCTGACAATCTGCATAGGTGAAAACCTAAGTAGGTTTACCTGG